AAATAAATCATTTATCACCTAATAATAGTTATAAGACCTTTAGTCTGGGACAGAATAAACAACAACACTGAAATAGGATGAAGGCATTCGCATTGTTTTAATACCATTTCATACACATCAATACAAAATATAAAACTTTATGTCTTCGGAAGATGAACCTCTGTAAAATAAACTATTATATGTCGATATATATCTACGGATAACAACAACCAAAAGCTTTACGACCAGTCAAATTAAAAACGTGCTCAATTAACTGACTCACAGTTATATACTAACATTTGGCTTACTGAAAAAAAATATCTTGATGTAACTAAATAAAATAATGGCTATTTTAAGTCGGAACAAATTGTCGAAGACTGACAACAGTTGAAGTGATGTGTGGGTGTGCAAAACGATCTGTACAGTACAATGCAAAGTCCTCGAGTGGCGTATAGATCTATCCGCTTGTCAGTTACGTTCAGTGAGTACGAAATAATCGTGCTAAACTATGACCGTACACATACATGTATATGGAATCAGTCCACAGTTATTTGCCTTTCGTTGAAGGAAGTAAATCCGCATAAAAGAGTGCCTGTGTTTAAAGCCAGATATAAATGAATAATTGAATGAAAGAGATAGAAAAAAGGACATTTTCTGACAGAATTCATTTCAAATAGTTGGTAAATGCCAATTTTGATCCAGATTTTATGTGAGTAAGTATTTTTTAGTGTTTTTCTACATGACAGAATTCACATGGTTCCGGCTAATTACTGAAAACTGTCAGACTGATGTATTTTGGACTGAAATGCTGTGAAAAAAATGATGAATTTATATCCCATTTTTTACATTACAATTTGGATTTTGTTTACCAGTACTCGCCTGTACTTCACAAGAATATACGACTTACGCTTCCATTCTAGACCGCGTGCTTACATGCGGTCTTATCAAACATATGAATAACGGATGATGCTAGTTAAGAATACACCGAAAGAAAATTCTTCCAAACATGAATGATATTTTAAGAATATTTAAAATCAGCCATCATAGAAAACATCAACAACAAAAAACCCAACTTACATGACGGTATACCTGCATATATTACTAATATTTATTCATTGTCTTTTACTTTCTTTGAAAGAAAAATCGTATATATTTAGTAACGTTATATTAGAAATAGCCTGCTCATCTATTTACCATAAAATTTATTACATATAAAGATAAAGTGTTCCTTTTTATGATTAGACAACTTTTTTTATCTTCCTCAATATTTGTATATATTATTAATATGTTATGTATTCATATATCAAAATAATGATCTTACCTTTGCCTACTCGACAAGTTCTGTCAACTCAACAAGAACATTACCTGACCTTATTACATAATAAAACCCCACGAATATTCAAATAACACCTGATTTGTGAACGAATAAATTACAAGAGCGTAGTGGATGGTTTCTTTGCATGGCTTTGGAATGCTTTCTTAAACATGATAAAGTATATTAATAATATGTTTCTTGTGAGTAATATTAATAAATACTGAGTTAAAAAACAAATGTATGGATAGAAAAACAAAAGAGCATGTAGGTAAGATAGTTACCTCACTCGGAATAGGTCTGCATAGTATTTACAGACCCGGTGGCCTTTTAAAAACCTCGATCGCTACGCTCTCTCGGTCTTCAAATCGCCACCCGGGTCTTTAAATACTATGCAGACCTATTCCTCGTACGGTAACTATTACATGTTGAATTAAAGTGACAAACGTTTCTTAAATAAAAACAATACCTAGTGTTTACCAGAAAGTCTATCCCTAGATGTATGTAGATCTATTTATAAACATTTTACTTTTTATGTCATTGCTTTAGAATAGTTAAATAATAATGTTATTATTTAATATATCGTACACAGTGCCAGAGTAATTGTGACGGAATTGATGTAGTTTACGTTAACTTTATATTGTCTCAATAAGACAGCCATGTAGATCTTTTATAAAAGAATATAATGTGACACGTATAGATTTTACAAAAACAACAGTTTTTGCGGCAAGTAGATTAAAAGGCCTGTTTGTTGTTTATATGATTTAAAGGATTGTTTCAATATACATACAACGAATGCGTGCACTGTTTAAAAATTGCACAGCGCTGATTGGAAAAGCGTGCATCAGCAAACACAACTTAGAGGTCACTGATTCCATTTTCTGCACGTGAATTTGATTTTTTATACTTATTTTGGATTATTTCAGGGCAGATAACAAATATATACGTCTGAAAAATCGTTTTTCATTTTGTTATGTCTTTCAGTTTATTTTTTTTGCACATTTAAACAACTCAACAATTTAACCTTAAACAAATTGCAACAGAAAATATTTTGAGTGTTTTGAAACCCCAGACCTATATTGTATAACATATCAAAAGTCTGAAAAATCTAAATTGGAGAATGTTTTCAAAAATTGAGATCAAATATATGGGTATCATTGTATTTATTTTTTTGATTTGAACTCAATGTAATACACACATACAATTTTCCAATCAGTTTTATATATAATATGCATAAAAATATAGCTTTATCTATCCCTATAGTAACATAAAGTAATCAAAAAGTTGTTTTTGTTTAAAGAAACTACTTTTACCTTTCTAAAATTTATTAATTAACTTAAGTGGGTGGGGTAATATTATATTTTTACATTGCTGTAGATCAACAATTTATTGAAAGCGCTATGTTATATGATATTAAACAGAAAATACATAATGGTTTACGTACATGTGAAAACTGTCAAGTTTCAACGTTTTATGAATTTAATTTACATTCCATCAATATTTAATGTATATTGAAATATTTATATTAATTAACATTGTACAGCTAGTGGGTGGGGTAATTTTATACAAAATGAAGAAACATTTAGGAAATTTATATTATCTATGATAATAATATTGAGTTTTATATTAACTTGAATACTTTCAAGCACATCTGTTGTACTTTTTTCTGAGTCATTATATAACATCATGACATTGGGTCAAAAGAGGTGACATTGACCTTTTGGAAGGTCAATTTCAAATATTTGATACATTTGAGCATAAAATGTAAAAAAAAAATATTTGCAAATTTTAATTTGTAAAATATCTTCGCTAAGCATAAGCACACGAATGTCATGACTTTTACAAAGCGTCACTCGCTTCTGTAATTTCTGGTCGACCAATCTTTCACTTTTTATCACTAGATGGTAGCACCTGAAATTCTTCTGGTATATCTTTTCCAGTTCTGAAATTAGAGGAGCATAAACATGTTTCATGGAAAAGAGCATCGGTTACAAGCAAGTCGTGAACCTGTTCTATCCTTGCTCTCACTGTATCAGACAAACAGTCATTCCTCTGTATGCTTATATTCAAAATAGTAGTAAATATATTGTCCTTACTGGCGAAACTTGTTTTACCCTTACTTATTACAGATTGACCACAATATAAACAATCTTTTTTGTATGAAAACTTATCAGTCATTGATCTCAATGGTGTTAATGGTGGCATCAGTGTTTACTTTTTCTGTCTTAGTGTCTCTTTTAGTGTAATGTGGGTTAAAGTACATCTTTCTACACTCAATGTGAATATATTATTTTGATTCAACTTTTAAACTGTCATTTTATTTCTCACTGGCAGCATTTATTCCCTTGCATTCCTTTTCGTTGCCTTTAACTGTCTTTGTATGATCATCAAACAACCGTTAACAAATCCGACAGGAGTTCATCTTGAAAAAAAAACAATAACTGGTTTATAAAATCTGTTTTTTACATTATATGGAGGTTGATCCAGAATTACCCAACATTTATTTATAATTCTGATAACTTTTTATGTTTTCTTCATTAAATTTATAAATGCGCAAAGATCGATGTTTCTTCTATTTAATTGCCAAATATAATTGATTATAAACATCCAGTACCGGATACGCCACAGCAGCGCAACTCAAAGAACACGACGTTCGTTGAAATTTATAATACACCAAAGTGCCCGACACAAAAAGGGATCATGTCCAATATTTGCCGAATTTTAATGTAAAGCCTGCTTTAGTTTTACGTCATTTGAACACTGTATTATTGTGTAATCATTTGTAATTGCAACGTTTATTTATGCAAAAACGTCTTCATTAAGGCGTCGGAAAACGGCACTTTCATAAACATTTGTCAACTGTTTAGACAGCCTACCATAGAAACATCTAATATGATAAAAGAAATTCGACACAAGTATTTTGTTAGTCATGCATGCAAAACTTTTTGAGGGGTAAAGAAGTTTTTTTACCAGACTATTGCAGTAATTTTAAAGATAAATACATATCGTTTGCGGCATAGAAGAATACGCGTGTATATTGTTATTTGTAATTTTCACACAGAATTGTTAATTGTAAACATATTTTATTGATTTTTCACTAAATATTAAAAATATGTTCCAATAATTGACTCTTGTCAAAATTGTACGCAAATTGTCAAAATTGTACGCAAATTAAAAGATGTGGACACTGGACATTAGAGCCGCAGTCCACGTCTCTGGTACATACACCTTGCAAGTTTTAGATTTTCCGTCCTAATCGGTATCACAAATCATGTTTTTATGGATTAAAGCCGTGCTCCAAAATTAACCTCTCCTAAAAGTAGGCTTATCTATATATACATGTATATGTTGGCACAATTTTTGATGAACAAGTCATTAAACATTCCTTTATTAAATTTGAATTATTTTAAAAATTACCTACATTGTATATGGGATTTACCTTTTATTGTTTATATGCGTGTTTATTGGTTGATTAAAGTTATCGTTTTTTTTTTTAATTTTATAACTTCCCAAAATTTGATATGTTCCGTGATAAAAAAGATAATAAAGTTATCGATCTTAAAAATCAGAATTGGAAATACTAACTATCTAAAAATCTGACATATCAAATAACATTTTATCTAGACCTATTTCAACCAAATACGTATATGACTCGAGTTGAAATACAACTTTTATCAAGCAAAAGAAGGAAGTGAATAAGAACCATATACGATTTAAATATAAACAAAATTTTTCCCACAGTTTAGATAAAATAAGTTTACATTTCAAACCGGGATTTTCCCTATTATTTCAGATGTTAAATGGATTAATATTAATATGTTTAATTAAATATATAGATGGACATTAAAGTTAATTGATGTCTACTTTAATTTTGTCCAGAGAGGATAAAAAAGTGACTAATTAAAAAGTGAGTTAATAATTTCCTAAACAGATAGTATAACTTCCGCTTTTAACTAAACTCTTGTCAGTTAAAGCATTTACAAACGTGTGTGATTTTGGAAATATAAAAAGTATGGATGAAAAAGTGTACGCTCTCCGACTGACGGGAGAGCAAAAAGCCGGAATACATTCGTTGTTTCAGGAGAGAGGATGGAGGCTCGAACTTGATACCATAGACAGATATAAAGAAAAGGAGGAGGTTGCGGGGGATTACATAACAATCAACCGTGTGAACGGTCGGGCAAGTCCGGAGGGTATAAAAGATTCTTTCTTTAAGATATTTTGTATGATTGTTTTAATATAAATGCCTTTTCAAAGAATATTCTAATTATATGAATTGACAAAAGAAATGTCAGTTCTAACTTGTTCATTAAAATTGTTGATATTAAAGTTCCGATTGACTATTTTTCTTATTTTATCCTTTATAATCATAGCACAAAATAAAGGAATTGATAACTACATTTTATAAATGCTATGTAAACGGTTTATTTGTATGTTTATTTATACGCCCATGTCATGTTACACTTGACTGAACCTAAAAACCCGTAATAAATTAGTGTCAATATAATAATCTAATATATAAATGTAGTATGTTATGCACAGATCTAATTTTATCACTATTCAAGTTAATATAGAAAGTATAGATTAATGTATATGCTTTATATAACGATAGATCGACCAGTTTTAGAATTGATCTTTCAAAACAGTCAAAACGGAAGTCTTTTATTCTATCAGACTAGGGTTTTTTAAGTCCCAATATTAGACAAATTTTCACATCAGATGATGGAAACAAATAATAAATATTGGAATTCCATGCACACGGTACGAAGTTATTATACACTGTACAATAGCAGTTATAAACCAAACCTAAGAGAAACCCTGAAGCTTCCATTTTTTGGATTTGTTCATTATAAATTTTGGGGATATCAAAATGAAATTTTAAAAGTTAGTCCGCCAACAGTATAGACCCAGATCAGACTTAACGGACGTGCAGGTTGGCCTTGGTCTGTACTTATCACCGTGTTGTTTAAGGGCTTCCACGAAGCTATGTATATTGATTTATAATGAATGCATATTTCTAATTCCATGTTTGTGATAGAATGCAAAGAAAGTCCGATAGCGCGACGCAGACTCCGGAGCGAGCCGACAGCGTCTATAAGTGGTATGAAAACAATTTGAGCCGCGTCACGACAAAACCAACATAATGCATTTGCGACCAGCATGGATCCAGACCAGCCTGCGCATCCGCGCAGTCTGATCAGGATCCACGCTGTGCGCTATCAGTTTCTCTGCTTGTAATAGGGTTTGTAAGCGAACAGCATGGATCATGACCAGACTGCGCGGATACGCAGGATGGTCTTGATTCATGCTAGTCGCAAACTCATTATGTTGGTTTTGTCGTGACGCGGCTCATTTATCTTATATTTTCTTATAATGCAGTGTATTAAAAAAAGAGTTGATGTAAAATTTTGTATATCATTCTTGTTATTACTACTACTATTAGTTAATTCTTGTCGTTCTCATCAGCCCTCTATACTAAAGCTTATACCTTTTAATTTGAAGTATGTAATAAAATTTGCATTAAACCATAAATATATTTAACTCTGACTGGTCCACCCTTTGTTTTTCTAATTTATAAATATATTATTCCGGTGGTGTTGTTGGTAGTTTTCAGTCCGGATCACGGCAGTAAGCCACATTGAATTCACCAGAGCACAGTTCAGTTACGGCATTGTTCATGGGCAGACTGTCAAGCAGTTTACCAGTACTAGTTGCCGTCACTTTCGCAAGGAATTTTAACTTCTGTACATACCAGAGCAGCGGTACAGTGCGAATGACCGTAGAAAAGATTTCATGATCAATCGCAACGAAAGTGACCTGCGCCGTCCGGGAATCGAACCCGGGTCGCCCGATTCGCACATATTATTCCGGATATAATATATCCTTTTATATAAGAATAACAAACATGCATGCACTACTCGTCACCTTAGTGCAATAACTAGTTAGGTCCTATTAAAAATAAGGAGGACTTAACCTGTTACTGCACTGAAGTGACGTGCTGTATGCTATATTGTCCGTATATTGACAATATATAAAATAAGTTTCGTTAGTTTGCAGACTGTGATATTAGAATTTCAGAACTGATTCCTTAAAGTCTTACCTTAATCAATGACTGCGAAGCAATGTATGATTGTGTTTAAGCTTTTTTACGAGAGATGTACATGTATATTGTGTATGTCTGTTATAACGAGATTTTAATCATTGTTTTGGGCTTAATGTGCATGTATAATCATGGTAAAAGGCTTTAAAGTCATGCGTTAGTTGTTATTCATTTTTTAGAAGACGACCAGAAAAGGCTACAAGATATGAAGAAAATAGGATCGTCATATACGCAGTCTTTTAAAGGTACATTTAAGGCGGGCTCTGTACGAAAAGGTTAGTAAACTATACAATATGTACACACGAATACACGTTTCTTAAAATGGATTGAAACCCTTACTCCGCTGTGATACTTTATTCCAATTCAAGAAGGTTTCAATTAACTCTATTTAACCTCTTTAAAAAAAACAAAAAAACTGTAAAAATGGAACAATTTCACAGAGTCGTTTTCATGGTTTTATTCGGTATAAGCTCTTCTTTGTAATTAAAAATTCATTTTTTCACATATTTTGTTTGGGTTTAAAGACCCTTCGAATTGCTGTGGCCATATGACGTCGTTTACACATATATGGCGAAAAAACCAATGACGCACATATGCAAACTCCTCACAGCGGTTACGTCACACTTTGCTACTTTAACTGTATACTGATCAGGGGAAGTAACCGCTGCGGGGAGTTTGGTACAAGTGTGCAACTGGGTACCAGGCTGCGCGTCCGCACAGTCTGATCAGGATCCATGCTGTTCGCTATCAGTTTCTCTATTTGTAATAGAGTTTGTAAGCGAACAGCATGGATCCTGATCAGACTGCGCGAATGCGCAGGCTGGTCTGGACCCATGCTGGTCGCAAACGCATTACGTTGGTTTTGTCGTGACGCGGCTCATATGATAACATAATATAAAATATATTTCTGACAACAATGTGCTATGAACTTCTATGCTAAGATAATATGCTAGATTATGTCTTCAAAGAATCTGGTCTTGAAGTGCCGCCTAGTGCAAGTTCAGCACCGCAAGGTCAATGGAGGTTGTCGCATATGCCCGGAAGTAGCGGTGGGGATCAGCCGGAAGTTGAGTCATGTGATATAAGCTTTAAGCATTTTCTTGTAGCAGACGACAAATCGGTAATTTGTTAAATTTCTTAGTCTAGTTTAATGTATTGGTCTGCATCATAGGTATTTCAATATAAGACAACAGAAGTGTATCATTTGATTATTCTTATGAAATATTTCTTGAAAACAGAATGCTGATAAGAGTTGTCATGAGTTTAAGTATAAATGTATGTACATGTATATCATAAATAAATTCTGTTTGTTCTAGAACACTTTATTATCGGCTATGCAGTTTGTCGATTTATGTATCCAACACTTAGCAACAGCATCCATATTTACTTAATATCTTTGTGTTCTGTTTCCAAGTGTGATACTGAATGCAATCAACATAATTATTTCTTCTATTATAGACCAACTAACTGTTATTCAATCTAGATACATGTATAGCATTTTGATCATCTTATTGAACATTGAATTGTTTTTGTAATGTTAAGTGAAAGAATAAACTGCTGTTTAAAAGATCATTAGCAATATACCCCATCCATGGTCGAGTGGTTAAGGTCGTTGACTTCAAACCACCTGCCTTACCGCTGTAGGTTCGAACCACCCTAGTGTCTTCTGATTTTTTTCATGTAAAAATACTAAAAATCTATCCTGTTAGCTTACGGAGCGTCGGTGGTTCCGCTCAGCTGCCCGTTTGTGCATAAAATGATGCACAAAGGTACAGTAAAGCTGGAAAGTCGCTATATGACTTATACTGTCTTGGTCGATGTAAAACCCGACCAACAACGATAGCAATACCAGAAATAGCTACAGCAGTAAAGCTAAAACATTAATATGTCATCATATGGTGCCATTTTCTGTTTAGTTATTCTCGGAAAATGTTGATTGAATTTAAAACAATCGCAACAATCTTGCCAAAATATTCCCAACAAGTTTTACAAAATAGTTTCAATGAAAACAGTTATATAGAATTAAGCTACCACAAACTTGTTCATTAACAAATTTCAACATGCGCTTGATATATAACTATACATAAAAGTATTTTGTTTAAATATTAACCATATATTTCAGATTCAGGTGATAACTCGCTTGAGCACTGAGCACGTGCATACCGTGTCACGTGTCCCCGTACGAATCGTGTTATTGATTGATAGAAGCGGAAGCATGCTGCACAAACTAGGTCGAGACAGTCGCCATACAAAAATCACCAAGGTAAAAAACACTGATGATAACAATTATATCTATCCATCTCAGTGTCGTAAAACATAATTACCTATTAATATTTGAAACATTTGGGGATAAATATGCGCATGCACTGACACCATCATGATTAAAACAAGGAAGTTGAAAAAGTCCTCCTTTAATGTTTCTAGAGTCTGTCTCTGGCCGCATCAATATATAACAAACGCCAGGGAAAACCAAAAGTTTCAAATACATAAAATTTGAAATTGCTTCCAATATAAATATAGATCAACATAGGCATTTAAAATATAAAGATATGCAAAAGATAAAAAGAGTGAACATGTACTCAGACTTAGATTGTTTTTTTAAATAGTAGTATGTCCTTTTTTCGTCCGTTTCTAATCAAAAGCGTTGAAAAGATTTCTTTTCTTGTGAATACAATTTCCTACAATTAAAACAAAATCTGTAAGAATCGGAGCTAGCGAATGATCTGATTTTTTACGAGCTTTGGTCAATATTGTGCATCCAAGTTATTGGTCCAGACCTACATCAAATAGTTCATTAACCTGAATAGAGTATTTCCAGTGCCGTCAGCACGGTATGAAGTGAACGTGTAAGTATTCACATCTCTAATTTTAAAGAATATCTTCCATTTGGAAATGCATTACCAGTTAATATTTAGCATTGGCCAAAATGTCGGCTGCCCCCCTAGAAAGACTGAATGCTTTTCATCTGTCATTTGGCTGCTCAAATTTTTATCTTGATATTGATATAACTTAAACTTTGAATCGACTACTTGCCAGATATGTCATTTCAGCCGCGTCACGACAAAACCAACGTAATGCGTTTGCGACCAGCATGGATCCAGACCAGCCTGCGCATCCGCGCAGTCTGATCAGGATCCATGCTGTTCGCTTACAAACCCTATAACAAGTAAAGAAACTGATAGCGAACAGCATGGATCCTGATCAGACTGCGCGGATGCACAGGCTGGTCTGGATCCATGCTGGTCGCAAACCCATTATGTTGGTTTTGTCGTGACGCGGCTCATTTAACGTTTAATGGGTCGTATAGTGTACCCACGAGTACTGAGTACTACATGTATAATACTATACTATAGTAAGTTAATCATGCAACATCAAATGATGATAGAATTAAGTCGGTCTTTTTAAAATAAGGAAAAATATTAAGATAAAATTCCTCAACACTGTTGCAACAAATTTTAAGTGAAAGCACTTCAAAGGGTTATAAAAGGTTAAGATATTTTGTTATCTAAATAGCAACTAAAAAAGGGATTGTACTGAGGAAAATAATCAGTGAAATTAATCAAGCAAAAGTATCCTTGTTCCGTGTGCGGTGATGCTTTACCTTGTTGTAATAGAAAGAGCCATTCGGAACTGCATTGGCTATTATCTATAATAACCTCGGAAACAATACGGATTGAAAGTAGTGACCCATAGTATCTTTGTTAATATTTTTCATTGTATTTTTATATTTATTTTATTTTATTTTATTGATTCCATTTTTTTGCTACTGGAAATGGTCGTTACCACTGCCCCATTGGAGCCTCTATGAAAAAAAATTGCATTGATATATACAAGGTGCGAAAAAAACTCAACCGATATATAACAGTCGAGTTTTTTTCCTATATGAATCAATGAAAAAACTGCACTGTGATATATCAATACAGTTTTTAAATACTGAGTATAATGGGTTAGTAAGAACAAAGGAAAAGTTCCATACCATGCGATAATTATATAATAACAGATCATAACACATGACTGTCGGGGCGAGAGAGGATATTGTCAACCCAAGAACTGGTATATTACCCCTACTGCCACGTGTTAACTGAAAGGCCTACAACTACAATATTTATTGGAGAGGTCATCAGACATCTCCACAGTATTAAGTATGATTGCAGGAAGCATCCACTTTTGCGTATCAAATTGAAGCTAATGCATCGCATTTTAAGCCTTAAATCATTAGAACCAGTCTACAAAAATTGTTATGCGCATGCTCCACTTCAAAATACGACTTAACTTAAACGAAAAATAAACATCGAAGTGAACAAATCGGTACAAGGAAAAATCGGAAAATATCATTTACGTTACTTACACTACGAGCAATGGTTCATTCCGTTTTTAATCCTTTAAACTGTATAAATCGATAATTGTTTTCTGACTTAATGTTCCGAAAATAGTAACAGTGAACATTATAGCTACAATATTACCATGCACTATTATATGACCGAGTGAACTGTGTACTCCTTTAACTTTTGAACTGGTATGACTAAATTACCCAACAGATATTTTTTGTGCAAATGGCGAAAATGACACAACTTTTTCTCAAGTTTGTTTTTCTTGAAATATTGTGGTTGAAGGCTTGCAGCAGTATATATTGTTTATTCCAATCAAATGCTATATATAATTTTAATGTAAATCTGGGACTTAAAATTGTTTGATAAATATACTTATGTCCGTTTTGGAAAATTTCTGTCTTTTATGCAAAATATTTTCGAAATAAACAAATCTTCAACAGCTGCAAAAAGACCTCTCGCATGCTTCTTTTTAAAGAAGCAAACTTGTAAAGTATGCAGGCAAGCAAGGACTTAAATAGAGTACACATCATGTTATCTCCCTTACACCCAAAAACATATTGTAACAAAGTCTAGTAAAACTACTTAAAAATTTGACGAATTTGGACTTTTGCAAGAGTTATGTGCCCCAGGGTGATATTGGAAATATTCCCCGGGGAATATATCTTAGGAGGGTGATATTCAATCAGAACACAGTCATAATAGGCATATGGAAGTTCCATGGAGTTAAATGATTCTTGCGAGGAGGATTCGGTCTCATCGCGTTCGACCCCCGAGACATATCAATTCCGATTCTAATGAATTTCTTGTTGGACGCCGGATCCTAAGCAACAAGTTCGGTCATGAGAGCCTCATACTGGTCATGAAGGGGTCTTCGTAAAAGCCGATCTCTAGTCCACCATCTGCTCTCAGGGCTCTGTCTTCTCTTACCTGATTAAATATATAATCATTAATTAAAATGTTGATCAATACTGTTTCTTTATTTATCTTAAAATTGGCTGTTCATTTTACAATTACATTTATTATCGTGAATGTTTATGTTTTAAGAATATGTAAAAAAACTTGTTAATTAATCTTATTACCACTCAAGGGCCAGCGTCCGAAACTTATGAGACACTTCGTTTATGCACATATTTAATCCATTTTCACGATCCAATATTTTGCAAAATATGAAACCTTAAATGTTATTCTATTACTAATGCATTGTAGTACGATATTGATATATTTTACACCTGTATGCATGTCATCAAGCAGCTCGACCTCTGTCTCCGCATTCTGTGCCATATCAATATACAGTTGGAGCCACTTAATGGCAAATATCTTTTATTGAATGTTCATGATTATGTTCGCAGCACGAAAACGCAAAAATGTCTGTTTTTAATAAGAAGGTAGCATTTATACCCTTGAAAAAGTACATGATACTTAATTTATCCGTACTCAACAGTGGTGGACCTCTCTCCGTAGTACAACGTATTACGATCGTGGCTTTCCGTGACAATGCCTTATAAATCGGTATTAAAACCGTAGCTTATACGTAGGTTAAGCGTACAAATACTTAGTTCTCCGTATCAAACCGTGGAAATCCTTGACAAGTTTGGGCCTACGAATCAGCATGGACTTTTACGTTTTTCGTACGGACCAGTACGTATCAGTACGATTAAATACGGACTAGTATAGGGATATGCTACGGTTGATTTTTCCGTAGCAAATTTTTGCACATGTTCAAAAGTGTCAAGGATCGCTACGGATATACAAGGACTACTACGATTGATTACGGTTACAATACGGAGAGCTACTGACCAGTACGGGTAGCTACGGACGATGCCGGAATTAATCCGCCCGTGGCTCTTCCGTGGTCGTGTTCCGTGAATATGTGACCGAATGTCACAAATGCACGAGTGTTTGCTCATTTGAAAAAAATGCTGACGTGTATTGTTACATGACGTCATTCTGACATCAATTCACAAATGTACGATTATTGTCATATTAAAACGTTATACTCACACAAATGTCACACAAATGTCAAAAATGTAAGATTCTTTGTTATATAATGTAATACTGATGCAAAAAATGTTGTCATATAACGTAATACTGACAAAAATGTCAGATTCGTTGTCACATGATGTCATACTGATAAAAATGTCAAAAAATATAAGATTCTTTGTCGTATAACGTAATACATGTAGCAAACTTTAAGCTTCATTTCTAGTCCACTCAAAATTCCACTATCTCCATAAAAAAGTGAGTCATTATGTAAGGCCTCTATCACATCAGCCTTACGGCCGCCGTACGAACGAATTTTGACAAAAAACGCTGTTTCGTGCGGGAGTCGTACGGCATTCGTACGAAGTCTTTAAGGTCACAAGGTTGCCGCAACGTCACAGACTGATTTCTCAACATGCACATTATTTCTGCGATTTTTTTACAAATTTTGGACGTCTCATGACTGTCGTAAGACAATCCTCCGGCCGACTCTAGAGGTTATCATGTAAAAATGTTACGCGTTTGTCTTGCGAGGACCGCAGGTTTGCCGCACGAGCATCTTGCAGCTACCGCGGCCGTAATCATATGATGTCAAATGACATATCTACAAATCAGTCTAGATAGACTGCGAAGTTGCCTGCCACCTTTCTACGGCACAGATTTCTCTACAAATCGTGCGAACCAAATTTTATTCGGCTGATGTTATAACTATCAAAATACTCTGTATGGCAAAAATTACAAAATGGTAATTGGGTATGTAGGTTTTTAGAAGCTGTATTTTATTCTTCCTGTATTTGCATTGTCAGGTAAAACAGTTTGCCAGCCAGCTGTTGGCGAGCCTGGACGATGATGACGAGGTAGGCCTGGTCACTTTTGGTGAAGACGCCGAGGTTTTCTTTCCACTGGAGAAACTTACAGCTAAATCTAGGGTACGCAACTCTGCTTTTCCCCATTATAATAGTGTAGTAGCAGTAACTTCCCTTTGAATAAACACAACATTTTAAAGTGATAAGAAAATGTATTTTTTTTGCGTTTCTTTTATGATTCACTTCTATAAAATTCAGGAACAAATAAGATTTTTGAAAAATGACTGGTAATGCAGTAAAAACCTTATTCATGCTGGTCAACAGCAAAAAAAAAACAACAACAAAAAAACGGTAGAATGAAAGAATTTACTTGTGTATTATGATATTTTCATATCATCACCTTTTAGAAAATGCAGACATACACATGTACTAGTATATATATCATAACAAACCAAACAATATGTATACATGTGCATTGATATTTTCTATGCAGTAACAATAAAAACATTGAAATATATGTATACAGAACATCACGTAAAACACACTAGATAACAATAGACAACAACAAACAAAAAAAAAGACCTTCACGATTTATTTTCAGCCTGTGTTACAGCATCGGTTGGAGAATCTAGATCGTGGAAACATGTCACGTGTTACGAATCTCAGTGCCGGACTTAAAGCGGCTCTGAAAGTGTTCTTTAATGCATCCAAAAAGTAAGGAGTAATTCACTGTTATTTTCTTTCACTACAAGTTTTGTGATTCTGAAGAAAAATGACGAATTAAAATTTATTATAACTATGTCACAGGTTGAGAAAACTGTGCAGCCTGACAGGGACTCGAACCAGGGACCCTCGGAATACCGTACCGCGGCTTTACTGACAGAGTTATCCGGCGGCTTACACATCATCTTCCCTAAATAGTGAACAGTTCTGAACAAAGACATACTGCCCTGCTATATTGAAATTCGTCTTCGAATTTCACAGAGTTACAGAGCAATGGAAATTCTGAACTATATTCAGTCACGGCCCCACGAACCCGGGACACTCGGAATACCGTACCGTGGCTCTACCCACTGAGCTACCCGACAGCTGACACAACATCTCCCCTAAATAGTGAACAGTTCTGAACTGTGACAATAATATTCTTTTCATTTCAGAACTGGAATTATTAGCTGATTTTTGTATAATGTTGTCAGATAGTTTTCTATAAAGCATAATTTTGTCAGCTACTTTCGTACAAAACACAATATTGTCAGCTAGTTTTGTATAAAACACAATATTGTCACCTAGTTTTGTTTAAAGCACAACATTACCAGCTAGTTTTGTATAAGCACAGCTAGTTTTATATAAAGAATATATTGTTGTCATATAAGTATTTATAGAACAATGTTATCAACTAATTTTGTGTAAAGCATAATGTTGTCTGCTAGTTTTGTTTAAAGTACAATGTTGTCAGCTATTTTTCTATAAAACATGTTGTCAACTAAAGCATAATGTTGTCATCTAGTTTTGTATCGTTGGAAAGGGACTGTGATTTTGAGGAAACTAATCGCGCATACCGTTTACTATTTTTCAAGATTTAATTTTATGTTATGAACATGTATTAATATCAGCTGATACCAGAAATAACACATATGCATAGCCTGTCCAGAAGAAAAGAAACTTAGATAGACAATAAGAAACTACAAAAAATGATTAATTTGAAATAATGAGCTAATATTTCACCTTTATCCAGGGAGTCAGACTATCTAGAAAGCAAGAATTCCATTTTGGTATTCTCTGATGGAGAGATTAACGCTGGCACGACCGACACAAACTCTCTGTTACATGAGGTTAGACAAAACATTCGACAGATGGTCCCTAAACTGGACGATTCACAGAATCAGTGGGTAACCATTTCCGTCGTGACCACAGGTGATTGTTTAAATATTTAGCCAATCAAAACTATGTTCAAAGCTTAAGTTGATGTGAATATGTAATTACCGGCTCCAATAATATTGATAACAGTGATTTCACTGTATATGTCAGTCAAATTTAAAAAGCAATCTATAGTGGGCAGAAACGTAAATGCTCAGACGTATTAAAAAAACAAAAACAAAAAAAAAACTATTTGACAAAACAATCAGACATTCAATTTCTAAAAAAATGGAACTTTTTCAATTTCAGGAAGTAACATTTCCGAGCAGGCATATATGTTGTCAAAAACGTGTAGCAGTGAGGCGTACTATTATATTAGCAAAGATGCTGTTGATCCGGAAGCGGACCTGTTCCTTCCGGTTCTTCTCCGGAAGTCAGCCGTTGCTTGGAATATCTCGTATGTTATCAAATTGTCCCATGGTATGACGTTCGACGATGAAAAATGCTCAAGAGACAATAGAATCCGCTTGAGAAGATCTAGTTACGGTTCAGGACCGCGCGCAGAAAAGGCCTATTTCATGTACGATTTTGCCGCCGATCACTCCCGGCAGATAGGCGTGGGTGCAAACTGGGACGGCGAGGAATCAATACAACATCTTCCTAATGACCAGCAGTTATTCAAACTGAGAGTCGAATATACAAATATCAAAGGTGATCGTCTCTGGCAGGAACAAATTATTACGAAAGAAGATGTCATCGACGCTCTTCACAAACGGCCGAACTCGGAGACAAACATTGCTGCCCGAAAACACGAGGTCCAGATGGTTTCTAGTGACGTGTTACGGTTTGCAGCTGAGCATATGAAAGTGGGCGATAAAAGAAAATCAAAAGCCGTCATGCTCGAAGGCCAACGGGATTTACAGTCGTTGCTGAACAAATTTGGTGAACAATCTTTGGAGCGATCTCAAAGTCAAAGTAGCATCGAAATTCAAATGTATGCCAAGAGTGTTGTCGACAATCTGGGGGCTCTAATCGACACAATAGAGCAAACGACGGAAGGTGAGTCTTGGAACAAAATGAAAGCAGTTTCAACAGCAATTTCTCGAGAAACTCCTAACGTTGCTGGAACCGTGGTTGGCGATGATATTTTATGTCCTTTGCCCCAACTTCAAGGCACTGGAACGCATATGATGTCAGATCCATTGCAGCGATTGATGGCAAAGAACAAACAAAAGAAGAGAAGGACCATAGGCCTGGATACACTGTTAGAGGACCTGCAACTTTCATAGCCACGCGTATAACATGTTAGACATTAACCTGTGTTTAAACACTTGAAATTTGTATAGAACATGCCTTTTAATTCATTTTAGGACACATCCGAGCAAATAGTATGTACAAGTTTAGATATGGTGAATACTGAAAACAGATACGTAATTAGGATTCATTTTAAAACAACATTTAATTTAACAGTATTATTAATGCATGCTCGCATAGTTTGCTATGTCTAAAATATTCATTCTTTATGTTTATGCGAGCACAAGAATTCTATTTGAAACAGATTTTTTACAAACAAATATCGTTATCAAAAGATGTGCACTTTTGCTAAAAGGTCCGTCTAAATTTTGCCATTTCCGATTGAATATCTGTGAGAATACAATATCACATTTCGTGCCACTACAGGAAGTAAATAGCAGCCATATTTCGCAATTCAGGATACAGCTTCCGGAATTTCCGGAAATAATCCAGTGGCGCGTGAACACAAAGAAAGCAGACAACCGACCACAACTCTTGAATATGAAACACATTTTAATAATGAACTTTGTCGGTTCATGGAAACGTCCTCGAAATCTCATCACAAAATACAAAAGTATCTTATCAAATCTGCATTCATTAGTTTCGCATTCATAAAATAAGGAGACGGTAATTAAGCGGCGTTAGTTTCGAATTCAGATTAGGACGAACTAGGATTAAATTGTGCAAATAAATCTCTCTTATACACGCTAGTCCCTTATTGCCTGATAATGATACAAAAAATCACATTCTTTTAAAATCTGGTTGATAGGGATCAATAACCCTTTGAATTTCAATGAGACTAATTATGGAGGCATTTCTAGAATTACCCGAAGATTCCTACACATTATCATAATGGGTTGTTGGAACGAAAGTTTTAAACAAATATCGATAACTCTTCATTATCAAGTTAGCAATAATTTATTCTCCTTAAGATAGGACATGTGAATACTTGGAGTTGATTTTTTAACTGGAGTGGTACGATTCAGTTTGCTTAATCAAAACCGACCTCTCATTTAAGGGCATCGATGAAACAAACATGGCGTTTTTTATTTTTATTAACTTCTGAATTTGTCTAATTGATTTGCCTTGATTTGGATATGGAACGGTCTATTAAAAGTTAAATGGTTTTCAATATCAGTAATAAGTACAGAAATTAAGCTACCAACAGTATAAAGCATTATCATAATGCTTGGGTACACGTTGGCCTTGCATTTTTATTGGTGCCAAGCCAATTACGTGCTATTCCAGCAGCTTAAAAGTTAGGTCTAAATTGTTTGCAATCTTGAACTTATTTGTAAATAATTAACATGTGATTGTTTATTTATTACTGAACTCTTCAAGTGTAGTAATGTAATTTATTTACTGCTCGTGCCTTTGTCTATTAATTATTGCGTAATATTCACTTCCTATATATTTATGATGTTGATGTGTTTTATATATCATTGCTTGCGTCATTATTCTTTTATGTTTTCCAAAAAAACAATCGCAATTTTATAGACTCTAGTTTGGTTATCTGTTCAAAAATAAACATGTGGCTAAATAAATTATACATTAATATTTGTCTTAAAATCGAAAAAAGAGCGTTTGATTATTAAAAGTGAACTGATCATTAACACATTCGTTGTCGTTTTTTTTTTATTTTGTATTATATGATATAGTCTGCTTCTATAGACGCTCTCACGCCCTATTTGTCAAATATTTTCAATAGGAATACAACAGTCAATAATAAGCTTGAATAAACTGTCGAAAAGTTCCTTTCGAATTTTCTAATTATGGAACAATTTCAAAACGAGGAGTGCCTTCGTAAGAATTCTATAATACGACCCATTTAGGGATCCGATGGTATTCTATTAAACTTGAGGAGAAGAAACGAAACTCTACTGCCAAGAAGGCCTATGCTATAACCAATATTAGTCCAATGTGCTCTAAAACGCTATTATTTCAATCGTTTTCGAATCTAGGGTTTAGTTATAATGCGCATGCGCTCGTAAATGACTGGTTCTTTGATTATGGTGTTTCTGAAATTGGTCCGCACCAAACACACAGGCAATTTAGCGAAATTTGATTGATAATGACAACTGAAAAGCTACTTGTGGCCTTACTAGGATATTTATCTTGTATAATAAGCATGTGGTATGGCAGAATATGACAGAAATGGAGAATGATGAATAGCTATTTGATGTAGGCACGACTATTTCGACTAATGTAAAACTGCAATACGTTTAGGCAATGAAGATGAATTATTCTTGAGAACCATTCATGTTATTATTTTTGTGAGACTGTTACTATAGTTGATAATATATTATTGTCTAATCTTAGTAAATATCTATTAAGTCATTTCTTATACAGCATTTAAAAACGAAGTGTTCCTGAAGTATCATATTGGTTTAAACATTTTTTTAAAAAATTTAAATTCGATTGTGAGAACAAGTTCTTGCTAACTGTACTAACACTTTTCGTGTCCGCTTCCTGGAACCAACCAGTACTGGTGTAATACGAAGAAACATGGTAGTGACCCGATTTAATAGGGCTACAACCCATGATCCCTTGGTTGAGAGGCATTTACCAAACCACCAAGCCACCGCTCCACTTGTTATTTTCCTTATATGAATTGACTATAGTAATTAGATTTTTATACATTAGCCAGAATTAGATATTAGGTAGTCTAAGATTTATAAGGGATTATGTCACCGGAATCTAATCACAAGTAAAATACGTTCGACAAATATTGTGTTTTAAGTGGCCTATTAAAAAGACCCTTATGTTTGCCGTGCACAAAATTTCAAACTATGCACGTGTGTATTATGCAAACTAAGTCAAAATAATAACAACATAACAAACGATTCCTCAGCAAAATGCAAATAATTGATAATTCATCTTGACTAAATTTCTCTAAGATGAGAATACATTACCGTCTTTAAATCTTTAACACGCGACCATATTTTGTTTTGGTAAAAAATACAGGGATCAAATGGAAACATGCAGTACTATCCAAATACAAGGTCGCGAACTATTGAATCTCAGAAAAGAAATGGTCTTTGTGTAAAAACTTTGGAAAACAGACCCGCACTTTTAAAAGTAATTTATGCGTTTCAAACAATCATAACCAAAGAAAAACGTCCAAGGCTTACTTTGTATTAGATTACATTTTTACAGGATTTTTATAAATTAATAACTTGTCAGTACTTTCAAACTGTCCGTTTGTTTTTGAAAAGGTAAAACGCCTGAAAATGCGTGCATCAAAATTAATTTTCAACAAATATTTGTAATTTTATGATTATGTTATTGTACAGAAAACAAAAAATAAGGAAGAATGTAGTCATCAGTCGTAGGCAGATTAGACTGGAACGTTACTTTTCCCAGGCAGTCAATTCGTATGATAATTTCAACTGCCTGTAATCCTTTGAATAATCCCCACATTGTATGTCAGCGCCCTGACTCACATGACGAGCAACATTCCCTTGCGACCACTCTAAACAAATGTTCAACAAGTCTGATGACATATTGTAATGGCCGCCAATACCGCGAATTTGCCGCGAGAATGGAGCGAAATGCCCGGATGTAATGACAGATTCGATTTGCTCGTTTCCAGAAGGGGAAACTGTTTAACTGGTCGTATAATGAGTGGAGACAGGGCTGTAAGATTGATCATGCGGATAAGTCGCCTTGACAATCATCGAGAATAATTCTGAAATGCGCTCGGATGTTTGCAGTTTGTCAATGTTGTACTGTAATCAAGTTATCTCAGACTACACGATCATTTTACATTTCGTCTGATGAAAAGGGGTCAGAATTTTGACCCCCTCGTTTGTTAACCTTATTTCTTGTCTAGCTGACTGTCATTAACGCAGACTGCAGCCGCTATCGGCTCAATATAAGATCAAATGGTTCGTCCTGAAGTTGAAATTCTTTCCAAAAATGAATTTCTTCGACGATGACCTGTTTCAACAAATGACACGTTTGAAATCTTAAGAGACATTGTAATTGACAAAGAATTAGATTTTAACACTTTCCAATTTGATTTTTTCTCTAGATAAAATTCGTATTTTTTTCAACAGAAAGAAATGATTCAAGGATAAGAAATATCATAAGCTATATGTGAGGAGCTATGTACGTATATGGTATGCGTATATATTTTGCTTACATAAAATGCTAGTATAATATTAGTTACAAATATTTTGACAGGTTATATGGCCGCGAAATTTAATCTTATACAATATAAACGTAATCATAACGTATCGGTGCATGCTCAATTTATAATTGAACGATTGTATTTATCGATAGTAGATTAATATATTATAAAAGGCAATGCACTTAAAATTACGTATAGATTTTACAAAGGAAATTAGTCTTTTCGATAATTAATAATCATGACTTCGTAGACTGCATTAAACACACTTAAATATCCTCTTTTATGTGTAATAGGAAACGCAAACAACTTTATATAAAACCTATTAATTCATTAACATGATCCTTTGGTGATTTGCACGGGTTTTTCATGAATTCATTATGATTTTTTGTAACATCGCAAACAACAAATGTAAATTAATATTTCTTTGCCGGAATGCACTAACTAGACCCTTTGAGCGGAAGATGTTAAATTAACTGTGGGCTGATTAATCAGTATCTAGTAATTCTGATAGAAATATTCAGTTTTGACAGCGAATCTTTGCTGACAAATTGTGGTTTATAAAGACATGATAACATTTGCCACTTGTTTGATTGGAAAACACGAGAAGAACGTGAGTCATTCTCGCACTAACAGATCAATGCTTATGAATCAAGTGCAAATTTATTTATCACTTCTGTCCAGTGAGAGGACGTGTGCTATTATTAAATGAAAAAGAAAACCGTTTTAAACGATCTCTGGAGAGATTTCAACGGCATAAAAATGAGAAAAACGCTACATAACAATAAAACTAACTAGATTTTTTTTCATGTAATTTTTCTAAGAAAAGCATAAATTTCAATTCTTGACACAAACGTGAATTGTTCGTTTGAATTAGCTCTTTTTGCGCTGATATGTTCCCATCTTTTTTGAAGTTTTTGATGCGCAATTTGAGATTCTTCAATTACAAATTGTAAAGAAACAAATCAAGAACATCAAGTATTAGACATTAGTCAAATAAAGCGCTCAAGATTTTCTTTCAGTTGCTTTGGTACTGAAATAGACCTCTTTAATAACAAAAAGATACCACATTAACATTTGAATCACAGGAACTTGAAATTCGGTCAAATAATGTGTATTAAAACACAATATATATACAGTATATACAATAAAATAAATATAATACAGTGATATTATTTGATATAAATGTTGATAATCATGTTCATTATTTTACAGAATTTCAAGTTTCTGTGCTCGAATGAAAAAAGAACGGTTACCTATTTTCCATTTTGATTTCTTTAACAACAACAACAGCAACGTTATCTTCATCATCATCATGAACAATAACAACAACAACAAATAATAATAATAAATAATAATAATAATAATAATAATAATAATAATAATAATAATTATAATAATAATAATAATAACAATGACGGTGACGTTGACGTTGACGACGATGACGATGATGATGATGATGATGATGATGATGATGATGATGATGATGATGATGATGATGATGATGAAACATGCAGAGACATTATGATGCGTCTGGCCTACTTATTTCTGTCCTAAAGTGATACAACCACATGTGTATAATACTAAAACGAAGATACATAATGTGTTGTAAAGTCAGTTAACAGGGCTTTCCACAAAATCGAGCTCAAAAAAAGTTTACTCATTAAATAATTCACATGAACAATAATTATGTCCAAGTTTCTTTCTTCTCATATATTGTTAACCAATAAACATTTGTTAACTACAATCAGTCACTGAATAAACAAACAAATAATGAAAGTTAATTCAAAATCCCCGCTCGGACCTTTGAAGCGTATCGATATTTTACCTGTGAAATTGACAAGGGGCATGCGCGGTTTAAGGGGCCTGAAAAGAGTCAAAAAAATATGGGGTTTTAGGCGTAGTTTTAAATATAGTAAAAAAAAATTTAAATTTTGATTTCCCCTTGTGACTGCCCATTTTTAAGGGGCCCTTTCGACGGCGGGCGGTTTCTTTTTGACTGAAAAAAAATTATAATAAAGAAACAACAAAAAAAAAGGGTTCCCTTTTAAAGGGTGAGTGGAATTTAAGTATTGGTGTTAAAACAACGTTCGCAAAATTTATTGTTAATAACTAATTAATCAGGTTGTGGAAACTTAAAACGTTGTTATTTATTCTTTCTCCAGGTAAACCTTTTAATAATTTTTCTAGTCTTTTGATATTAACGTGAAATAATGCCATCGGCGTAATGAAAAGGTTTGTTATTGAAAAGTAACAGGACTTTGGGTTTTATAAAGTAATACTGCGATGAGTCAAACGAAAGGAACTTGAAGGGAAGTACGTTCTCTGTAAAAAATATCGTAAATGTGTTGAATAGTGGCCCTGGGAGGAGGGAAGATAGTAAAACCCAATGTGTAATCAAACAGGGTTATGTGATGGGATATAGATTCATTTAATTTTCCTTGCGGTTAAGGCTCGTTATATATAATCGATCCAAACAATTTTGATAACACGTACATCATCACGAAATCACTGTCACAGACGCTTGGGGTCAGAATCTGCCCCCAACCTGATACGCCCCTGTAAACACTCTTTCAATATTTAAACACGAATTGGAATCTTTTACAACGAAAAACTGGTTTTCAAACATTTTTTACATTACTGTGCCCTTTCTTGCGAGTCTACACGATTCAATGTGTACCATTTAATTATTGCCATTACTAGCATCTGCTATACATCCAGTCACTGTACCTTTCTTGGGTTCTCGCGATACTTGTATATAGTATACTAACATGGGGTTGTACCTGATTACTGTCATACAAATCTTATTTTACTTGTATCGTTTTATTTAAGAAAGTTTACTTATGTTATCCTTTTATCGAAAAAGGGCTCGAATCATACATGTACAGGTTGTGTATTTTACATGATATACAAGTATATACTCTTGATATGTATACAGTTAAATATTTCGTATGAATCTAAGCATCCAAGTTGATGATAATGGGTGATCTGGTTTTTTTTATCTAAATACTATAGCTTTCTTATATCTGACACTTATAAAGATTTTACACTCGGCCAATACTAGTACCATGCATAATGATAAATCTAAACGATGTGTTGTTATAAAGTCTTGTAACTTGTTGAAAGGAATCTGTTGAAGAATACAAAAATATTTTCCTTATTTATTTTTTTTTCAACAGATTCAAGATTGCGTTGGGTTTTATACTTGTCCATTTTGAAATGACATTTGTGGCACTGGCATTTGTATAATTCAATATGTTTCCGTACTGGTTTCTCCCAGGACCCCTCAGCCTGTCGTACCGAGGGTTTGTGGCAGAGGTGCACACCTGTAGGTCACCCCAGGGTGCTGGAGAAACGTAAATGTGAACTCATTCTCTTACCCCCCTGGTGAGTTGTTTCAATATGATTTTTTTTTTTTAAAATCTTCAAATCCCGTCATAACACTCCGAATTTTAAGTTTTTACTTTCCGTTTTAAAACATTTCCTTTTGAAGTTTTTTTAAAGCGAACTATTAGATGGACTTTTCTTAAAATAGCTGATAGACGCCAAAACTACAAGTAGGAATACGTTTCTAAACAGGGTCATTTCTCAGACATGTCATATGGCATTGTCTATCTTACATCAAACATATTGTTTAACTGATCTTGACATATTTTGTTAACATAGATTTATAATAAATCAGTTTAGCTATGACTACCTGTTTAGTTATTAAATATGCAAATAAGTAATAATTGATCTATTTCCGGATAACCCTACTCAAACCCCTAAGTAAATTTGTTTAAATACATGTATATGTGCAATTTTAACGTTTTTCTTTTTTAAAAGGAGAATACATGTCTTTAATAACAATTTCATGAAGTGAAATAACAACGCTACAGTGCATCATGTAACGCAATTCATTTTTGACGAAATAATTGTTAATTCTTTGTCAGTGCGTCTTTTTATAAATAAATGATTCAGTTTAATTTATTTCCTAATCTTGTAATTCATGACAACTTATCTAAGATGAAGTATAAAAGTGGTATTTATTTTACATTTTCTTTTTACTTGTAGAATTTTTGGATGCTACACGTGTAATGATGCTGTTCGGAATGTCATTGTATATTTTCGCCACTATTTGCTCACTGGTGTATGTTTTTTGTCGACAAGAAAAGACGAGTTTGATAACTGCAGCAACATTCCTTATGTTATTTGGAGGTAAATTTTCAGTTCTAAACCCTTCATATCTTATTTTTGTTCCCGAATGTTTATTTGTCTGTTTGATTGATTTGATTTTATATCACACCGACAGTCACACAGTATAGGTCATATGGCGACGTTCTAGTTTGACTGGTGGAGGAAGACCTCGGGTGCCCTCATGGGCATTATTTAAGGCACGAACGGGCACCTGAGTAGAATCTGAATGTGCCATTGAATACAATATGTTCCAAAAATTATTGACGTATTTTCTCAATAATACATGACTTTTCAAAGGACTTTATTTACAATGATAAAAATAACTTTATTAATTTGCTTATGTAGTTTAGATGGTTACAGATAAAAGTTTCAACGGTCAGTAAGTTTTAACCACCTGAACCAGTCTCAGGATTTGAAAATCGAGTCCAACCCAAGGTGCTTATTCCTTTTATGTTTTGAAGCTATCCAGCTAGATTGTGGACTGGAAATAGTTTAACTCATGTGCCTGTGTCTGTTATAATCTAATCACTCAATATCTTAATCATCAGTATTATACTAGAGATGTCATAGCGTTTTAGAGACTGTACAGCGTTCTAAAGACGCCATGGCGTTCTAAAGACGGAATTGCCTTCCAGAGACCCAACAATGTTCCGCCAGAGCGTTCTAAGAGACGCGACACGTGACAGCGTTTGAGTGATTTAAACCTGGCTTACAGCCTATGTTCAGATAAATGAATTATAAAATGAGTAAATCTTGAAATGATACATCTTCCATTTTTTCCTTAAATGTTTCAGGTATATTGTGCATGGTTGGAGTTGTTGTGTATGGTGCCATGTATCCAATACTGCTGAGAGCCAAAGGTTTAAGTCTTCATGCAGGGTTTGCACTTGGTGTCTGCAGTGTCGTCGCCGGATTTGTAACCACACTGTTCTATTGTATGGCAAGAGCCAAGGGTGACGTTGAATGAGCCAAATTATGTGCTAATTAGCCATATGCAATCTGAACAATAATTGTTCAGCAAAGAGTTCTTTTTAAAAGAACTTTTTAAAATTTCCTAACCATATAGTGATTAAGATTTAAAGAGCTTTATGTATCTAAACAGCTGTCAAAACTCAGGAAAGATTGTCTTCTGAAAATGTATCCAGACTGTTACTGCTGACTTTTTTTTCTTATATACAGATGATTGATGAAAATATTGAAATAGGAAACCAGTCTTTCAATGCTACATCTGATTGGTTCATTTAAATTTCAGATTTGAAATTGAACAACGATTGCACACCATTTTCAGACTGGTTTTGTTTGATCTATCTGTTTACAGCATTAGCTATAGATTGTGCTTTTTAAAACAGTTATTATTTTTATTTAACCGATTTATTATTCAAGTGATATGATATTATTTCAAATCTTAAAAGAATCAGATCTTGAACAGATAAAATCTGTACTGGTAAATTTAAAACTTCTTGATGAACATTGGCTTGGACTAATGTTACATTTTTCACTATTGGAACTAATTGTAAAGGGCCATGTGCTTTAAAAGGTTTATATATTTATCATTAAATCATTGTACATACTCATTTCATTAAAGTAAACCATTCCAATAGATCTTAAAAGTGTTTCTGTCAGAATGTTTGGAAAGAAACAACGCAGTGCATTAAGACAGTTGTAAGGAACAATATGTTTTCATTCAGAAGTAATATTCAGTTATTTCATTTTGTAACCGAGATTATGTACATATTTTTCTTTAACAAGAATCTTTATTTGTATGTTGCAAACTTTAATACAAAAAGTACCATTCAAATGAATACCGACGTCACATTAAAGCCATTATTTTCTACGCATGCGCAGTAGGATTAATAAAATCAAAGAATTAGTTCTTCATGTGTATATATTATTACATTGTTTTGTTCAAAATGATCAATTTAAGATCGCGAAGATAGTATCATAAAAAACGGAATCATCAAAACTACTTTATTAGAGTTGACAAACAGCTGATGTAGAACCCGAGAATTTCATGCATGCGAGAGATTATACATGTATATGCATTTCTTTGAAGCATGTAAATTAAGAAAATGATCAGAAATATCTTTGATAATAATAATCTTTCTGATGTGTATATGTACTGATTTATGCATACAGTGTAAATGATAGGTATCTGCTGATATTTGATATTTTTAAAGTAGAGGAAAATGTAAAACAAATTTTAAAATTAAAAATTGTGTGTACGATCACTTAATAAAAATTGCCAGCCTTACTTCATTTATAGATTTATAGTGTTTTTCAAGCACTAGACAAAAAAGAATACCATTTGTTTTTGTTTCTGTTGACAATTTTTGTTTCATTAAATGATAAAGCGATCAAAATTATTTAAATTGAATTACTAAATAAGTAACAAGCTTTTTATAAAGTTATATCCGTCTGACCATTTTTAAATGTATTGAAATATTTCTATACTACCTTCTGTAATGTAAAGAATTAATAACTTTACAGAAAAAATAATATATTTATACATTTATTAGAACAATCTTTAAAAAATTTGTAATATATCATATATCTTTACAATATTCAGACCATCTTATATTGATTTAATGTAAATAACTTATTGATAATAATGTAATAATTGACATATTTCTAAAACGTTCTTCTGACCATTCAGGTATCTATTTTATAGAGTAACGCAAACATGATAAATCAAACCGACAAAAGACAGCTTATTTGTAGAAGATTTTAAGTTTTATTTTTGTATTACAGCAGAATATTATATTTGATACTATCCTTTATTGTTTAATCAACTATATAGATCTAGATTTTATACTTCGTTGTATATAATATTATGTTATATATTATGTATATGTCATTATTAACTTACAAAATGTATGTAAGTATATACATACAATTGTATATTATATTGATTAAGGATAGAATAAAAATAAAATGGAGATAAAAATATGAAATCGTTGTTATTTTTATATCAATAATTTATATACTTATAGATCAAGAGCCCGTAAATTCAATTTAAAAAAGGTCGTATTTACAATGGTTATGTGTAATGACATACATGGCTGACTGACCGAAGTGATATCTGGACATTTGTTCATTACATCTACATGAACCTTCTACAGGCTTTTATCTCTGTTTTGGATAGCACAAGATGATGGGACTTTAGGCCATGAAAAATATGTATATTTTATATACAAGAGATGTCTGCATATCTAACGTAAATGATGGGTTATACATAAATTCTTCCATTTCAGAGCAGAACTTTTAATCACGTGATCATCAGCATACCATTGTCATACATTGTATGATGTATGGTGTAAATTACAAATTCCTTCACAAGGAACCTAATAGATGAGTCAGATTTTAATGCAATGTATTGTGTTTATACAGCTGCTTTACTTCTGGATTATTGTCATTATTAGGACATGTGTTCAAGTGCATACACTTTGTTATTGCAAGGACAACAGTTCTCCTGATGATCTCGTAATTCTATCACGACGAACCATATTATATTGGAAAACTTATTATAATCACAAGCATAAATCCCTAGATACTTCAATTTAACAAGTTTTCTAGGGAAATATTCAATGTATTTCTGCACGTTAGCAGAGTACAATTTACATTTTTAATTGTAACAGATTAAGATAAAGATACCATCCGATATCCCCTTCCCGCCCCCTCCCCAACCGCTACATTCAATAATGATAGTTTCAGATACATCGCGTTTGCTAGGTATTTTTATATTTATTTAAATTAATTTCATGACAGTAGTAATATACTGAGTAGCATTTACTACAACAACAAAGTAGAGGAAATGTCAACATCTTTTCTCCTACTTACTATGTATTATTTTTGTTGAAAGAACAAAATTTCAATATTTTTAAAGCTGCATAAGTAAATCTTATGTCTATGCGCTTGTTGCTATGGGGTTGCTTTTAAGGGTTGATGCATCAGAATTGCAGCAACCATTTATCTCTGCGTGATCGTAAGATTCGACTGAATTAGTTCGAAGTACTAGAGTCTATGCATCTTTTAGCTCCAGCAGGTGAGGTGATTTTAAACCCTGGTGTTGCTTTAAGTTTGTAACACCTGATGTTAGCCAAAATCATCTTACCTGTTTCGGCGCCATATGATGGAAATTGTGTTGGCAAGCCGTAAAACCAAACAAAACAACAATATCTTATTCATATGGATTTTAAGAACATAATGAAATTCTATATGTATTATCATTATGTACATTTTTTAATACAATCGTATATAAACACATTACAGGTAACTTAAAAATAAACGAAAGTGGTCGGAGCTTACGCTTGAAGTCGTAAAATTAAAGTACTAGATTTTATAATTTTAGGCGGATGTTCCGCATTTTTGCTTGCCATGTTTTTGTAGCACAAACGCCGGGAAACTTTATTTAGAATCGGGTATCTGTCATTCACATGGCTAGTTCTATTTAAGAATCAATATTACCATCAGTTTAATGATCGACCTTAATTACGATTGCCAGTCTTCTTATGGTTTGATAACAGAGAGCTAAGACTTTGAGTGCTATTAAATACGGTGCATGGAGTAATGTATCCTACGTTTTATGATAATTAATTTGACTTATTTAATATAATACTATGTCGCAAAAACACCCGTTTTGATGAAATGATATGTTTACCATTTGACAAGTTTCCTACCTCATAAAGAAATAATAAAAATAAGTCGTTGACATAAAATGTTCCTTAAGTCCCCATGCATAAAATGTTGATCCTCATATTTTTCATTTTATTTTCTTAAAAGTTGTTTTGATTAATGAAGAATATGATACCCCGATATTTGATGTAATTTGATTTCTTTGATATGAAGTCACCTATTCTATCGCTTGTAACATAATCAAAGTATTGGTAACGTAGTATTGGTAATGTAGAAACAATATCATCAGCCGATCATTACAAAATATTTTGGCGTTGATAAAATGTCAAGGAGATGAAAAGCAATTAGTGTTTGAGAGAAGTTATACATTTTCCTCCTAGATTTGATGTAGTTCACGACAAAAACATTTGCCATGGACATTTAAAAAGCTATTACGTTAAGTACAGTGTTTAGTTCGCAGCTCTATTCTATGAAATCATTGTTTAAGGAATTGTATACTAGTAATTTACAGAAAAGTATCAAATGGAGCAACCTATTTTTATGTTTCTATAATCTAACTTGAAGCATATTTTGTCATATTATCCAAATTTTTATATTCTTCAAACTCGCTATATACATATTGTATGGATTGGCTGCATCTTTTTTTTGACTCAATTTGCCACATTTAAACATTCTAATAGTAAAAAGAAACATATTTTTGAACAAAATAAAAGAGCATTCAACACCCTCGGTTTTTCTTGGCATGTCGATATGCATGAACATATACTGCAACAAATAAAAACAATATTTTTTCTTTGTTTATTTTTTCTTTAAATCATTTGTCTAGACTTAATCATTTTAAACTTGATCTCAACAAACCGGGAAATATTTCATATTCACATACGCCGGAAAACTGAATTTTAGAACCGGGGTATCTGTCATTCGCATCGATGGTTCAATTTAAGATAAATTCGATTTTAGAATCGATAAATTAGAAAACTGAGTAAACATTCTATATTTCAATGACCAGCATCTTTCTTTGAACGTAACCTGACAAACCTTAGCGTTATCAAGGAATTGTTAATTTAATTCGAGATAATAATCTTTTAATCAGTGATATGTCGTGACCATTGTAGTGTGCATTTAATTAGTATTATATCTTACCTGAAAAAAAGTAAACCGACAAAATATCTTGAAAGCTATTTCGTTAAAAAAACGTGCATAGTTACTATTGAACAAATGAAACACATTAATTTAGTTCCTTTATAAATAGGCCGAATGATCGCAATGGTTGTAATAATTGTAATATAACACTGAACATTCTTTTAAAATAGTGTCAAAATGAAAATTAGAAAAAAAAAACATTTCATATAGTTACCTTACATCTGTTTTTGCATCAAATACCTATATTTTTGAAATAAAAATAACATCGTGACAAACACATCAGTCAAGATTGTCATTTGGTTTATTGAAGTAATATCTGTCGACATATTGCTTATTAACATTCCCTTTAAATACTGTGCATATATACTGTAAATGCACTTGTTTGCCCAAAGGAATGCTATGAAGCGTGTTCATATTTTTAGTTTACCTTCTTTACGTCAAAAACGATAAGCTCAATCTTATTAAGCAAATACAAGGAAACATCTTAGCTTGAAAATTAAAATTCGTTTAAAATCATGTGAATCTGCAGAGCTCAAATAGCCACAAAATTTATCAACTAAAGGACTTAAATTTGTGCTACGAAACATCATCATCATCAACAACAACCCCCCCCCCAAAAAAAAAAAAAACCCAAAAAAAACCCACAAAAAACAACAACAAGATTGTCCTTGCTATACTAACAAGACCATGATGTTTCAGACAGAAATAATTACACCACATGCGAGATATAACTCAGACGACGGTGATCTCTGAGAGAGGTAATGTACTATAGTTGCAATTACATGTACCAGTAAGTGTGTTGAAGTATTCGGAATATTTTGTGAAACAATTAATACATTTCGTATCATTTTAAATTGCATTTAAGAACTCAAAACTTCCGCTCATATATTCATAGTAAGGATTAACCAATTTATCGTCTGTTTGTTAGAACTGACAGCAGAGGTTACCACTCTGTTCTGCTCTATTTCAAGATTTTAAGTATTTATATTCTAGTGAAATGACGCATGCCGTATAAAAGGCACGAGGAATAACTATCAATGAATTAGAATCTATTATAAAAATATACAATTAAAATATTTACAATCCATAGTAACTACATGTCGACCCATCATGGGATTGGGAGTTTCGAATTGTATATAACATTTCCTCTAGTTAAACATAAAAACGAAGAAAATGTAAGTAAAAGTGAAAAGTGAGTTATTCGACGCCAAAATCTTTCAAAAATAAATGATTGCAGCAGTGACAAGACCAAGAAATAAAAACATGACCAACTGAATTGCTCTGCAAATATGCAAGAAAGAAATGTTCTCTCCACTTAGCTTTCCTCGAAGCATTTAA